GGTGTTTTTCCCACGGCACACCTTACACTATGTCACGGCACACTAGTGTGCCGCGGCACAGTGGTTGAAAAACACTGCCTTATAGCCTTTCAAAGAACCTTCAAATGGTGCTTTAAAAAAAGTGCTAGGGATCATAATGGCAGCAGCGAGCCCATGCATTAGCTGCACAACTTTCTAATTTTAATCCTCCCACTCTCCAGTTTTTAATATATGTTTAATTATTTAATTGTTCTAAATGGTTTTTATAATTGTTGGTTTCATTATATGCAAACCAGAATCGCCTTGTGTAAGATCAGTGGCCACACAAATTTGATAAATGAATGATGTCATTTACACGTTAAATGAATAAGTATAGTTTGCCTTAAAATATTAATTATCCTTATTTTAATATTAAGGTGTCATTCTGGCAATCTATAGCTCACAAAATTATATACTTTTTAAGAGAGCCTGCTTGATAGAAAAGAATATATAGAATAAAACCTTTGAAACTATACCATATAAATGATAGTCAACATTTCATAAAAATGTATTTATATTGTCTCAATCTATTTTTCTTTATTAGATTTCTAACTCTGGATCCCATAGTAACCTGTGATCATGTTGCTGCTTCCTGATCAGATTTTTATGTTGAAGAAGAGTAAAATATTCTTATTGCTAATCATTCTAAGTTTTCTATGTGAAACATCATATTCATTTGCTAGAGATGAAAGCAATCCCTTTCCTTGGGATAATATTAGACTTCCAAAACATGTTGTTCCAATTCATTATGATCTTCTTATTCATCCAAATCTCACAACTTTATCTTTTACTGGATTGTCCAAAATAGAGATTTTAATAACTGAGCAAACTAGTTCAATCATCCTTCACAGCAAATATCTTCAGATAACCAGAACTACTATCTACAACATTAAGGACAGCGCTGGTGCAGCTAAAGGAATGATGCTTTTAGAACATCCATCATTTGAGCAGATAGCACTTATTTCTATTGAACCTCTACAAGTTGGGCAGAGCTACATTATTAGCATTGAGTACTCTGCCAATTTATCTGATAGTTTTCATGGTTTCTATAAAAGCACATACAGAACTCTGGCAGGGGAAATAAGGTAAGTCCTGTATTACTGTATTTATTATTTGAATATCTAACTTTTATTTAAAATCATATAGATTTTTTTCTTATTTTATATTTACAAGTAGTGCTTGACTATGATAATTCGTTCAACAATCATTTGAAGTTATGATGGTAGTGAATCAATGGTAGTTACAACTCCTTGAAGTTCTACCTGTCCCAGCACCCCTGTGATCATGTGATTGTTATCTGGATACTTGGCAGTCAGTTCACATTTATGGCTTATTGTAGCATCCCACAGTCATGCAATCACTGTTTACAACCTTCACTGCTGGTTTTTCTAGAAAGTCAGTGGGGAAGCCAGCAGAGAAGGATACAAATCACTAGGGTAAGTCTTCCCCACCTGTGAACACTCCCCTTCTGCACTCATTTTGCACTGGCTACTTACACACTCTTGTGCACCTTCCCTAACCCTTGCTCTTGAATTTTTCCCAACTCACACTCTAATCTCCCAGCCCTTGCTCACCCTCCCTGACCCACATCATGCCTCACACTTTTGTGCATCCTCCCCAATCCACATTCAGCTATCTCAAATCCTGTGCACTCAGCCCATATCATGCCTCGCACATACTGAGACCCACAATGCACTTCTGACACAATATCTTGCTGCCTCATGGCCCTGAACCTCTCCCCAACTTATGCACCTCCACTCACTCATTCGCACCTTCACAAATCTTTCTGAATTCACTTGCACCCCCACACCTCCTCCCCAATACATGCTGCGACTTTTGCATACCCCACACAACCTCCCTGACCCTACCCTGCAGTCCTGCCATTCTCTTGATCCCTCCCACACCTGATAGACAGAACTTCTGTCGACTACTATACGGTTTTCTGACTTATTTATTTTTCATAGTGAATGATTGGGAGAACTCTTTCACTTTTCTGATTACAGAAAATATCACACATTATGGTATAAATATGGCTGAATTGTTGATTTAACACATTTAGGAAAAAACAATTCTTAAAAATGTATTTGTTCTGTTTGAAAGATTGATGGACAGTTTGGGGATGGGTTTTCTATGAAAGAATATTCTATTTAAATGTGTATAATTTTTTGCTCTTGCTTATTTATTTGGCCTTTATACTAAAAGTTTTATTTTACTTGTGAGGAAAGGAGCGTCCATAAGTATTAAAGGTAACTGAAATTATATAACCTATGTAAGTATTGTACATTTTAGTAATTTTACATACATCATTTAAATTAATGTATTTTATGCGGTTTACATAAAATCTGCCTAAATATGTAGACTTTATGTGATATATGTAAACTGCATAAACTCAGATTTTGTCTATTGCATTCACAGTCAACTGAATGAAGTTTTGTATCTTTTAGGAATTCTGACAATACTATTATTGGTAAAATGCATTTAATATATTACAGTTAGAAGAGTATAATTCATTAACAAGCAGTGACAATATTTTTTAAAAAATTACAGCAAAATGGAGAGGAAAAGACATGCTGATTTGCATGGGGCTCACAAAGAAGCACTAAACTTTGGAATTAGTTAGCACCCTGAAGGCCTTTCCATTGCCCTTTTAACTTTATTAATTGTATCATATTGGCATGAATCTGGTGAAAACCAACTCTGAAGGTTCCCATGTTTTTCACCTAATTATTCTCATCTCTTTATTTATTGATTATCCCTTGTGCCATATCAAAGTGCAGATTTCCAGAAACAAATTATTGCTAAAATTTGATAACAATTTTTATCAACTTGCAAGATTTTATCAAGATTGCAATTAAAATGGCATGTACACTTCTATACCACCCCATGGTCCTTTACAGCACTCTCCTGGCGATTTGTAATATCGGTACATTCCCCCCAACAAACTGGGTCCTCATTTTACTGATCTTGGAAGAATGAAAGGCTGAATCAACCTTGAACCTCATCAAGATCGAACTTCTCTGCTGTGGACAGAGTTTGCCTGCAGTACTGCCTTCTAACCACAGCGCCACCACAAATTGCAACCCACAAAAATAACTCCGAGATTAGAATCAGGTTCCTATTAACCACCTCAAATCTTGCCAGATTTAGCATTAGTTAATTCATCTAATCTAGCCTGTTAACAAATGATGAAATGAGATGTTTTCTCTTACTCTTTCCTCTTTCTCTCTTCTCTGTCTCTCTCATCCTATTTCTCTGTCTCTCTTCTCTTTCTCCTTCTTTTCCATTCTTCCTTCACTTTCTCTCTCCTTCTCCCTTCTCTGTCCTCTTTGTCTCTTTCGTCTCTCATCTCTTTCTCTTTGTCTCTCTTCTCTTTCTCCTTTTCCATTCTGTCACTTTCTCTCTCCTCCCTTCTCTCCCCTCTTTGTCTCTTTCTGTCTCTCTCACCCTCTTTCTCTTTGTCTCTCTTTCTCTCTTCTTCTTTCCCACTCTTCTGTCACTTTCTCTCTCCTTTGTCTCTTTCTGTGTCTCTTCCCTCTTTTTCTTCCTCTCTCCCACTCTTTTATCACTTTCTCTCTACCACCCAACCTGTCCCCATACTTATCTTCGATTGATCATGTTTTACCTTTTATAAATAGACGCAGTTCCCTTACCGGATCCCTTGCTCACTCAAACACACACATACACAAAAAACCATTTTTCTCCATTCCCAATTTGGATCCTATAAATCAATTGCTCTGTGAAACATCTGTGAAAAAAATTCAGGTGCTCAGCCATGAAAATGTGTCGCTCAAACACTATACTTTTCTTCACACTGAAAAAAAATTAGAGGGAATATTGGCTAGCACCTAATGGATTTTCAATACCTCAGCAGCAATAAGGTTGAGTATAAACTGCCATATCTCAACCTGAACTAATAAAAAACGGTGGTTGATTTCATTAAGAAGTGCATTGAAATCAAGAAAAATTACCTAATCTGGTGATCAGAATAATGTCAGAATCTGTATTGATTTTATTGATTTAATCCAACCAGCCTGAAATTCAGCCAGGATATATTCTTAATTTTTTTGTGCCAGAGGAAAATATTTGTAGGTGGGTTGTTACAGTTTGTCAGCTTCAATTAGGATTTTTTAAGAAGAGATCTCGCAGTACTTATTTTAATGCTTTAAACAAAGCCTGTGTAACTTCCTGAACCCATCTAATCTAACTTAATATGAAACCCAGATGGTCAGAGGCTAAGGGTAACGGTCGCTGTGTAATATCTCAATCATTTTCATTATCCTTAAGTTAAAACAACTGTAAACTAATTCCCCAGATAGGACCAGATAATGTTTTAGGTATCTTTTGAAAAATCCTAGGGAATTTTCCTGTCTAGTACACATGCTCCAGGAGGTTTTAATAAATATTTTTCAAGGTCTAAATACAATACTTCCTATATTATAACAGGATAATACAATATATTTAGCTTAATGTTTCAGCTGGTGGTAACTGGTGATAAAGCTATTCTGGTAGAGAATTCATTCTTCATCCTTCATCTTAATGCTGGTTTATAAAGGGTTATATGTCGTATTCTAGAATTGGTTATTTATTTTCATGCATTTCTTTTCCCTCCCAAAATGAATCTTTGCAATATCTTTCACAATGGAATCCATTAAAAAAACAAATCCATTATTAAACAGGCAGTCTGAGAGAATCTTTCAAGTTATAAATTCTAGAAAAGCAGTTGTGATACAGACTAATCTTCTGTACAAGTAGATCTCACAACAGTTCATTTAGTAATGGTTCAAAGTTACAATGGCACTGAAAAAAGTTTTTCATACTTATGACTGTTGCAGCATCCCCATGGCCATGTGTTCAAAATTCAGATGCTTGACAACTGGTTCATACTTATGACCATTGCTGTGTCTCAAGGTCAATGGGGAAGCCAGGTTCACTTAACAACTCTGTCACTAACATAACAACTGCAGTTGTTCACTTCACAACTGGGACAAGAAAGTTCGTAAAATGGGGCATAACTCACTTAAATGTCTCACTTAACAACAGAAATTTTCGGCTCAATTGTGGTCATATGTCAAGGACTACCTGTACATATATCTCAGAATACATCCCAATAAGCAGAAGTATCTATTTCCAAAAAACATGTAGGCGTAGTCATTTTAATGTGTTTTTTTCCTGATGTATAAATATAAGGTAAATTATATTGTTGAAGTGAAATATGGACTAGTAAACATTTTACCATGTATTCTATCTGCAGGATCAGTTTTAAATGTACTTGTTTTTGTCTTAATTCCAGGGTGCTTGCATCAACCCAGTTTGAGCCAACAGCTGCACGTATGGCCTTTCCGTGCTTTGATGAACCTGCACTAAAAGCAACATTTTCTATTAAGATCAGAAGAAGCCCAAAGCACCTTGCACTATCTAATATGCCTTTGGTATATGCTTACTTTGAATATTTTAGAAGGCAGATAAAAGAAAAATATTTTTAAAGCAAAGACTAAAATCTTAGCATATATTTTTTTGCAAATGTTCACATCAAATCAAAATAGAAAGTTCATTGTTAATATACTGAAATTGAAATCAAAATTATTTATATCCTCAAAAGTGGCATCCTTTCCTATTTTGAGCTGCAATGCTTTAATTTTTTTCTTGAAAGGTATCCAGTTAAACTTAATGAGGTTTTTTCTGGATAGATTTGGATTAAACTGTTCTGTAGAATACGCCAATGCGTAACTATTAGTAGATATACATGTATAACTTACATTTTAGTGGCCCTTCAAAAGAACAAGTATAGTCTTTGCTGCAAAAGAATGCTTTGTAACATTAGCTTAAGATTTTTATTAAAAAGATTTTTATAATCTTTTTGCAGTGAGAGTGTTTGAAGAAAGTTACAAAAGACTTAATTCTGAACAATCTTGCAGTTTTCAACTAGTAGCAAAAACTAATTATGTTTTTACATTTTAGGTGAATTCAGTAAACATTAATGAATGGCTTATTGAGGACCAGTTTGACATGAGTGTAAAGATGAGCACCTATTTAGTAGCCTTCATTATTTCAGACTTTGAATCAGTTACCAAGATGACATTACGTGGAATTAAGGTAATCATTTCGCATCAGCTGATTTTATCTGTATAAACATTTATACAGATTCAAGCACAAGCTAGCAATTATAAAATGATTTCTGAAAATGAGTACAGTCTGTTTAAACTAATTTTTCAGAAATTCCAAAGTCTATTGATGGAATATAATAATCAAATGCTTAGACTTGCACTATTGCTTTCAAGCTGTTGAACAAGGGATTACATAATTTTTAAAAAGAAATGTTGATACCTATTTATAAAGTAGCACAGAAATGCTTCATATTCAGAACTGTTCTCAGTTGTTTACATCAGGCTTATGGTAACAGGAGTAACTGAACAAAGCTTCTATTGATTAGCATGACATGAAACCTAGAAGTTTTGGCTTGTTCCCATCCTAAACAAGACAAAATTGGAAGCAAATGCAACAAAACTATCTGTTTTGATCTACCCAGTGCAATTCTGGGTGCTGATTTTAGTAACTAGGGAGTATGTTCTAAGAAACCTATCTCAATGCATCTTAACAGTATGTTCAAAATCTATTCCTGCTTGTGTCTTTTAGGTTTCAGTATATGCTGTGCCACACAAAATCAAACAAGCAGAGTATGCTTTGGATGCAGCAGTGACACTTTTAGACTTCTATGAGGGATATTTTGCCATTGCATATCCTTTGCCAAAACAAGGTATCCTGTTAACATCTGAAAAGTATATTAACTAGCCAGATTAATTCTCTAATTTAAAGTCATTTTTTAACATTTAAACAATCCTTTAGCATTAGATTTTTTTAAAAGACATGTAGTATGTATATACAAAACAAATTCTTATTCAATTCAAAGTTCCTTCCAATTTCTGTTAAGTTTCCTACTAGGTAGTTACACTTTTTATTGCTGATAATGTTGTTAAGATACAAACCAACTCATTGCAAATGGAATTTCAGATTGCAGTCCTATACATTTTGAAGGATTATTGAGTTTAATATGATTAAGTTCTGTCAGAAAAATCACCCACATAAAGAGTTCTAGATTTTTTCTTAGTCATAAACAGTCGTTCGTGGAAACATTTCATATGCAGTTTCAAAGGCTTCTTTTATCTAGATGTAGCTATCATCTTTTTTTCATTGCTATTTTTAATAGCATGTTTTTTTAGTCTACATCGCATAGACCAGGGGTCAGCAATCTGTGGCTCTGGAGCCGCATGTGGCTCTTTCATCCTTCTGCTGTGGTTTCCTGTCGGCGATCGGTGCCACAATTTTGAGAGGAGCTTCTGGTTGGGAGGGGGGAAAGCACAGCATGCCAGGACGAGACTCTATGGCAAGGGGTGGGTATTCCGGTCAACTCCACAATTGATAGGGCTTTCGATTAGGACAGATAGATGAAAAAGAATGCCATGCTAGGAAGAGACTCTGGTGGGAGAACAGGACTTCCGGTTGGCTCCAAAATTGAATGGGGGGCTTCCGGTTAGGACCTTTGTGGGTCTTTGAGTGTTTAAGGTTGCCAATCCCCGGCATAGAACAATGAAATTGTTGTTTTTTAAATAAAATCTTCTGAAGGATGTTTTTTAAAGGGCCAAAAAGATTTACAATTACTTTTGAAAAATTTCCATAAAACTAAATATTTGAACTTATATTAGATGTCTGTGTGTGGACATGCATGTATTTTTCCCAAGTATAGTATGGTGTAAACAGATTTTAAGAAAATAACATTTCATTACAGATCTAGTAGCTATTCCAGATTTTCAGTCTGGTGCAATGGAGAACTGGGGTTTGACCACGTACAGGGAAGCTGCTTTGTTATATGATTCTGAAAAATCCTCAGTATCAAGTAAACTTGGAATTACTATGACAGTAGCCCATGAACTTGCTCATCAGGTAAATTGTAGTTTGCTTTTCATATATGAAATTGAAGGTTATATTTTAATTATCTGAACAACAACTCCTTCTGAAATCAGAAAGTAAAATCAGTTGACTGTTACATTGTGACATTTATATAAATGACTCCAGCCAGCATATGATTTTTTTTTCTCATAAAACTAACAGAATCTACAGCGGTGGTTCCCAACATGGGGTCCACGCCCCTCAGGGAGGCAATTTGATTTTTAGTGGGGGCAATTTGAACCTTGTTTAAAGGTTCCTTTTAGGCTTCCTCCGCATGCGTAGATTTCACTTTTTGAGTAAAGTAACAGTTATATTCAAGGGGGGAGGGACATCAGGATTTTAGAGATGCTTAGATGGGGCATAGCTAAAAAAAGGTTGGGAACCACTGAGCTACAGTATGTTTTCTGTATGTAGTTTAGAAAGGACATCTTCTAGTCTAGTTTCTTCACTGAAGTTTTACAGAGTGTGTGGGTACATATTTTGCATTCACCAGTGAATGTACTGCGTATAGTTTTAGCGATACCAAATAAGCTTTGGTATCAAATAAGCTTTGGTATCACCACCCAAGGTCACTTCTTTTGTGACACAAGTGTTGATATAAATTTGACAACTTTTTAGGGATTTTAACAGAAGGAAAAATATTCACCTTCTCATATTCCAGTTATTTTTGATTGGATTATGTTAGTACTTTTATTTGAGATAGTTGGAGTGTCTATCCTATAGAAATTCAGTAAGAGAGTTGGTTCTTCTAACTACATTCTTGTGGAAATTCCGTTTGTCTTAAAAAGTACTACCCAGTCAATGCCAGTTAATCAGTCTAAAGGCTCATTGTGCTAGATTAGCTGCTGATATTTATATTTGAGTTGTGCATATCCAGTTTTCATAAACAACAAATGTTACGTGGTCTTCTCGTGAAAGGCATTAGTTGTTGCCACACAAAACACTTCTTTTCTTTTCATAAATAAGAGATGGTTGAGTATAGAACAGTTTCTAGCTATACCTTTACTTTTTCCACTTTCAATTTGATTAGCGTCTTATGAATTGTGTCAATCTTGCTATTTTTTTCTAGTGGTTTGGAAATTTGGTTACAATGGAATGGTGGAATGATCTTTGGCTTAATGAAGGTTTTGCAAAGTTTATGGAATTTGTGTCAGTAAGCAAGACTCATCCAGAACTGAAAGTTGTAAGTATTGGGTCTTCCCCTCCCCCCATTTTAATAATAAGAAAATCCCAGGACTGAAAATAGACACCACCACCCCCTTTTAAATTTTCACTAGGCAGGCTCAGCAAAGTTTTTATACTGTAGGCATGATCGTATAGCACTGTACGGAATTTTATAGTTAATGAAAATAATTATACAGTGAATTATGTGAGCAGCATGGTGCCTAGAGGTAGAGCTCTTGCCTCACAATTTGGAGCCTGTGAGTTCAATCCTAGGTAGTGGAAAATATTTGTCTCTCTCGGCATAATGAATAATAATCTGTTGTGAACACTGCATAGGCGTCAGGCGTCAGGGCATCCAGCCAGTAAATGCTTGAGCTCTGATCTGTCACCTGACTCCAATGAAGGGATTACAGGATTATATGTATGTATGTATATATACATACAGACATGTATACATTTCCCATAATACTAACACTAATATTTTCTAAGTCCACTTAGGACTTAAGAGAATTATTTCCTACTATTTTCTGTTCTCCCTTTTTTGCTTTTGGGAGGTGGGATGCTTGAATGTCGTCTGCCAACATTCGATTTATTCTCAGCCCATAAAGAAAACAAATTATCTTCTTTCTACTGAGGCCAATATTTTCAGACAAATAATACAAAATACCTAAAAGACTAATTTATTATGGCACAAAAAATTTTGGACTAGAATTTGCTTCATCTATTGGATGAAACATGATTCTACCAATGTTTAATTTAATGCTGGAATTAGAATAATGAGATTTTATCCCAGTAATAGTAAAGATGATCATGTTATAAGCAAAAGTATTTTATAAATAGATATAGTAATTATTTTACATTAATTTAATTTTTAGTGAAATTACCACAGTTGTATTTGGAGGAAAGCTTAGGGGAGGGGAATTAAAGTTTAGTTTCGCTTCGACCACCTTGTGATCATGGTAAAAGGACTACCGTATTTTCACGACCAAAAGCCGCACCGGATTATAAGCCGCAGTATCAATTAACGTTAATTTTTCAAACTTTTTCCACATATAAAGCGCACCGGGTTATAAGCCGCACGTTTCCCGACGCTTCTGGACATCTGTTGCAGTTGCGAGGAGCGGAGGAGAGCGCGAAGGTTCTTGGCGCTCCAGGAAGCCCCGAAAGCAGCTGGGAGAGGCGCGCGGTTTGGTTTCTCCTCCCTGGATGTCGCAGCAGCAGCCCCAAGCGCACCGATCTCTGTGTTTTTCGCATCGGGGCATGCTCTTGCAGCACACCCCGATGCGAAAAACACTGAGATCGGTGAGTTTGGGGCTGCTACTGCGACATCCAGGGAGGAGAAACCAAACCGCACGCCTCCCCCAGCTGCTTTCGGGGATTCCTGGAGTGCCAAGAACCTTCGCACTCTCCTCCGCTCCTCGTGACTGCAATAGATGTCCAGAAGCGGCTTTTGGGGCTAATGGGGATTGGATTTCCAGCTCGATAGCCCCTGCCGCTTCTGGACATCTATTGCAGTTGTGAGGAGCCGAGGAGAGTGTGGAGAAAGCGCGAAGGTTCGGGGTGTGCTGCAAGAGCATGCCCCGATGCGAAAAACACAGAGATCGGTGAGTTTGGGGCTGCTACTGCGACATCCAGGGAGGAGAAACCAAACCGCGCGCCTCTCCCAGCTGCTTTTGGGGCTTCCTGGAGCGCCAAGAACCTTCGCGCTTTCTCCACACTTTCCTCGGCTCCTCACAACTGCAATAGACGTCCAGAAGCGGCAGGGGCTATCGAGCTGGAAATCCAATCCCCATTAGCCCCAAAAGCCGCTTCTGGACATCTATTGCAGTCGCGAGGAGCGGAGGAGAGCACGAAGGTTCTTGGCGCTCCAGGAAGCCCCGAAAGCAGCTGGGAGATCTTTTTCCACATATAAAGCGCACCGGGTTATAAGCCGCACTGCCGGTTTTGGATCAAATTTTAGGATTTTCAGTGCGGCTTATAGTCGTGAAAATACGGTACATATGCTAATTCTCCACTCTTACCAAAAGTAATGGTACTCAAAATATGTATTTGAAATCTTAAATTAAGTAATAAAGTATTAATTCTGTATAAATAATTAAATGTAAGTTTATTTCAATGTCTCATTTTAAAATGAGTTCAAAATCTCAGAAGACTATTCCCAGCTTCTTTTTCTTTGTTTAGGAAGATTATTTTTTAAACAAGTATTTTAATGCCATGGAAGTAGATGCTTTAAATTCTTCACATCCTATATCGACCCCTGTTGAAAATCCAGCTCAGATTCTAGAAATGTTTGATGATGTTTCCTATGATAAGGTAAAATAAGAAATTTTGGCCAAGTTTAATAATTCTGGGTACTATCTTTATATTCAAAAGTTATTTTCATTTTCATTGTTAAGATGGTCAGACTATATGATATTCTATTTTTAATGATTTTTTATTAAAGTTATAAAAACATAAAAACTAATGCAAATAATAAGGTGCAAAATCAGGAAGGGGGGGAGAAAAGCAAAAGTGCTGGAAGAATTGAAAGGAAAAAAATAGAAAAAAGAAGGTTTAGATTTCTTGTGTAATAAATTTATAAAATTTTCTATTTCTTTGTGATGGCAAAAAAAAATCCATACCTTTCCTTGTTTTTATTATCCATTGTCCATTTTTTTCTAATCATTAAAACCACAAATCATAATGTTGAAACATTTTAGGGTCATTAATTTCAAACTACAGAGACAAAAAAATAGGATTTAGTACCATTATCAGTGACTATATAGACATGATATTAGTCCAAATACCTAAACACGAAAAAACAAAACACCAGATGTATTTTCTATTATTTCATTCTATTTACAGGGAGCTTGTATTCTCAATATGCTACAGGACTATCTCAGCCCAGAAATTTTTCAAGCTGGTCTTGTGAAATATTTGTTACGATTCAGTTATCAGAACACAAAAAATAAAGATCTCTGGGACAGCTTATCAGATGCAAGTATTTGAGAAGTATTGCTTCTCCCAAAATACCTAATTTTAAAATATTATTGAGTAGCACTGATGTTCATTTTGTAATATCTCGAATAATTATTTGTTGGTTAGGTTTGTCCAGATCCTGATGGAAGTCACAGACAAAATGGAGTTTGTATCAGAAACAAGGAGAGAGTCTTAAACTCAGTGAGATAATTTTTCTTTCTTTTTCTTTTTTTCTCCTTTTTTCTTTCCTTTCTTTTTCTTTTCTTTTTTGTTCTTTCCCCCTCCTCGCTCTTTCTTTTTTCTATTTAATATGTGTGCTGCCTAACTCGTTGTAGGCAGCCATCCATATTATGTCACTGAAGTTGTGATACATTCATTTGTAAGGTATGCAGTTGAAATAGATTATTTAAGTCTTATCTACTGGGCCCTTTGAGTACTGTTCCAACTATTCTGAAAAAGTCTGAACTCAAAGTGACTCTGTTTTGAGGTCAAAACATCTGTTTCCAACTCAGAACAGTATCTTTCAAGTTCAAACATGGATTTGAATTGTTTTGCATAATACTAAAGGTGCATTGTACAGTAACTTGATATTTGGAGACCAAAGTTTTAAATCAGTAAAACTGATTGCTACTATGCAGTCATTTTGACAAAAGCTAATGCCTAAGTGAAGAACCACCAGTCTATGAAGTAAGATATTCTAGATGGAATGTTCTGAAATATTTAAAAGAATCACAGATATTTGTTTTAGATTGTATACATAACAAGCTTTTCTCTCAAAAAGTTTGTAGTTATATCAGGTTGTTTTCACAAATACTTTTTAGCACGTAGGCAAAACATATGCTATGGGTCCCCTGATAGTTATGATTTTTTTGCAGTTATATATTGTTCTAATTCTCTTCTAATATAAATTAAAAATTTCCAATGGAAGAAACATGGTAAAACTTGAGTTTTCTTTCATGGCCACATTTGTTGTTGTTTTAAAATTTTTTGGTATTTTTTGGTATTTATTAGACATTTATAGGCCGCCCTTTTCCCTGAGGGGACTCAGGGCGGCTTACAATCAAAAAGGAAAGGGAGTGTAGGACAATACAAAAAGAAATGTGCACAAAAGTAAATTAAGCAATAAAACTCAACATTCACTCAGCATTCGGGAGGGGCAAAAATAAACTTATCCTTAATGTACTGCTTCTTTCCCAAAGCATAATCTATTTTTTTTAAAGTTGAATTTCATCAATTTATTTGGAAAATTACAGTTGATTAAAATATAAGAAATTACTAAGCTTCATTAGTTTGCTGATGTGGAAGGGGAAGAAAAGGTAGAAGTATACAAGTTTAACTTGTTCTCCATGTAGCAAATAATTTCTTATATTAACTGGGTTGGGACATTGTTTAGAACTCTATAGCTAGAGAAAATAATTCAAAGAGGAGTCTTGTTCCTTTGGTACATAGATAATTGGAAATAAAAATGAATAGTTTGGAACTTATTAGGAATATTACTTGATTGTTACAAGAATAAGAAATTATCATTAAAACATTGCTTCCTTAGGCTGAAAAGAATATCACAGTTGAGGACATTAAACTGATGACTTTACAAATGATTAAAATATGGCACATTTGTATTTTTTAATTTCTGTGATTACTACTTTTTATCAATGTAATATACCTATGTTTTTGTTCATATTTTTGTAACTTATATATAGCACTGGACCAAAGCTGTGCTCCATGATGTACAGGCAGTGATGAATACTTGGACACTCCAAAAAGGATTTCCTCTAGTGACAGTTACTATTAGAGGAAAAAATGTCCATCTACAACAAGAACATTATTCAAAAAAACCTACTTTTTCCTCATCAGCTGGGTAATGATGAATGAATGAGACTTGTTTCTGATTATATTTTATACCGATTCTACTTCATGATACGGATATTTCTTAGGGCCACAGTTGGCTTGGAATCTGGATTGTTGAGCAAAGCAGTCATTAAGCAAGACACCATCTGACTGCTTCACTCAATGACTGCAATTCTGACTCTCCCACTTGCAGTTGTTAAGCGATCTCGTGTCGTTAAGTAAACGGAATTGAGGCTAAGACATATTGGGTGCTTCAGCAAGTTGAGGCAAGACCTGTAAAGTGTCGCTGTTACACTGAAAATCCTCCCTGCAAGTAGAATTTTAGTCCCAGTGTGGAGAGATACATGGCCCCACACTTGGCTTTCTCACTTGCCAGAGGCAGCCCATTCTGCTTACATTAATTCTGCCTCTCTGCTCTGGCCCCTGCTGAGCAATCCAAGCCTGCAATTGCTTAGTAATGACAGGAATTGATAAAACAATTTTGCAAAAGACCCTCATTTCTCAGCAAAAAAGAAAGAAAAAAAAGTTAGAGGGGATAATTTTTGCAAAAGTTTGGCTGTTGCTGTGAAGTGTCAAATTCTCCCTGCTACCAAATAAGGAATCTACTTGATGAATCTGCTTTCTCTCTAGGAATCCATTTGATGTTTTTAGCTCTTAGGAAGCCAAGTAGACAAAATTAATACATATGTATCCTTACAGAAAATTACTCATTCAATTTAGTTCAGAGTAAGCATTGGATACCTGTTAAAACCGTAATAATTGCCATTAACATGTGGGGAAGGTTGAATCAACCATTTAAATACTTATTAGGAACATAACCTTATTTTCACCTTCCTAAGTGTGTGCTTATTACCACACACTGTTTCCCAGGTTAATGTTTACAATCTCTATCTGTCAAAGTGATGCAACTCATTTTATCTGTTTAGAAATCATTCAATCTATTTCAAAAATCATGGTGTTGATTTTGTTTTTAGGAGTCTGTGGCACATTCCATTGACATATCTTACCAATAAATGTAATGATGTTCAGAGGTTCTTGCTGACAACCAAAACAAGTAAGTTTAACCCAAGTCGTGGAGACTTACATAAGATTTCAAACATTAATCAACAGAGGTGTGCAAAATATTTTATTGTCAAACATAGTACAAATGTTTTAAGTTGAGCCAACCCTAAAATGTACCATTCTGACTTGAAACAAAGACTGAATTGCAAAGGTTGCTTTATTTATTTATTTTTTGTTCACAAAGCATTTTGCATAGTTCTTTTAAATATATATTTCAATCATTTATTGATATATTAATACATTTTTGGAAAAGTTCAAAACTTAAGGAATATTGAATTTTAGGATTATAATATCTTTTCAGTCATTAAAAATCATGTGCATATCCACAAAACATATTGAAGGTATGTTTTTGAAAAAGAATGTGCCAAAATTCCTTATTTTTAATGATGTGATGAATGTAAATAAATCAGGGGTCACTGTGAATTATGATATATTTTGATTTTAGATGACATAGTCCTCCCAGAAGAAGTGGAGTGGATAAAATTTAATGTAGGAATGAATGGTTATTATATTGTGCATTATGGAGATCATGGCTGGGATTCTCTAATTCGCCTGTTAAAAGACAATCATAAAGCAATAAGTAGCAATGATCGAGCAAGCCTCATTAACAATGCATTCCAGCTGGTGAGGTAAGAGTTTAAGATTTTCACATGCCTAATATTTGAGGGCAAGGAAGGAGTTAAATAAACAAGCAAGCATGCGTGCCTCATGTAAGAAGCCCCTCATTTAACTTCTTTAAAAGAAAGATGGGTCTTTCCCTGATAAACAAGCATGTTCCACATTTGTGCAGGAGACACTGGTTGAAGTAATACAGAATAACTGAATGTATCCAAAGGTAGGGCACATCTTGAGCTAAGAAAGGAAATAAATGTTGTTATATTGAGAAATACAATTAGAATGTCAGACATGTTATATGCCCTTGTACCCTAGTTAAGAATTGTGCCAAGGGATTTAAAGATAATCCAAGGCCATATAAAACATTGAATAAAAAGCCTGCAACTATAGATGAAAACTGAGCTGAAAGTGTATTGAAGGCCACAGAGCTATATAATTCTTTACCTGCGGCCACAATTGAGCCCAAAGTTTCTGTTGTAAAGTGAGACATTTGTGAGTTTTAACTCCTTTTATGATCTTTCTTGCCTGAGTTGTTAAGTGAATCTGGCTTCCTCATTGACTTTGCTTGTTGTAAAAGCAGATACATATTCCCAAGACACTACACCTGTCATAAATATGAACCAGTTGCCAATCATTGAAATTTTGATAATGTGCCCAAGGGGATGCTACAACAGTTGTAACTGGGAAAAACAGTCAATTACTTTTTTCATTGCCATTGTAGCTTTGAACAGTCACTAAATGAACTGTTGTAAATTAATGACTACCTGTATCAGTGAAGCTATTTTCAAGAATTTAGAGTTCTTTCATGGGAGAAGTTGTAATGTATCAGCTGTCATCACTACCATAGTGCTGTGTTATGTTTCAGTTCATTTACTATCTAGAACACAACATTACCGTATTTTTTGGAGTATAAAGCACACCTTTTTCTGTCAAAAAAGAGGCTGAAAATCTGGGTGCGTCTTATACATTGAATACAGCATTTTTTTTCCTTCCCAAAACCCCACTCCCTTCAACAAAATGGCCGGGCATAGCTTTTAGGAGGCTTTCAGAGAGCTCCTGGAGCCCGGGGAGGGCAGAAATGAGCAAAAAATGGACTTTTTGCTCAATTTTGCCCCTCCCACCCCCCAGGAGCACTCTATAAGCCTCCTAAAGGCTATCTATACCCCCCCTTTTTGTTGACAAAAAATAGGTCCGTTTTCATAAAAAACGGGCTGTTTTTTGTTTGTTTCTGCCCCCACCCCCCTCCAGGAGCACTCTACAAGCCTCCTAACAGCTATTCATTCTCTTTTTTTTATTCATGCTCTTTTTGTGGGGAGGTTTGCAGAGTGCAAAACCTTTCTTTAAAAAAATTGCCTCTTCAAATCCTTGGTTTGTCTTATACTCCGATGCGTCATACTCCAAAAAATATGGTAATTTGCTTTTTTAGACAAATACATCATTACAAAAAGATGCCTAATTTTTTAACCTGATTATAAATTTGTGTTCAAGCATGGTAAAAAGAAAAAACTAAAATGTATTTGGTTAATATATATTGTTAATTTGAAAATTTATAGGGAAGATGATTCAGACCCTTTAAAAATATTTATTTTTTAAAACACATTTTCTATTTCCTCAGTGCTGGAAAACTGTCAATTGAAAAAGCTCTTGATTTAACGTTATATTTAAAACATGAATCTGAAATTACTCCTGTATATCAGGGACTGAATGAGCTCGTTCCTTTGTATAAACTGCTGGAGAAGACAAACATAAGGGACACAGAACAACAATTAAAGGTAAAATAAGAAAGAGTTAAGGCAGAATAAAATTGAAAAATTACATAGATTTTTAAATAATCAATGGATATGTTTGTTCTATGCTAAATGAAATGAATTTTATTTTGTTTCTTTTTAAACTTAAAAATTCCAAGATGGAGTATTCTTTGTAGAATGCAGGTAGTTCTCTACTACCACAGTAATGGTGCTTGCCCATCATGGTAGTAAGTCATAAATATATACACACAAACTAATATATTGGCAAAATATTCTAGGATCAGGATTGATCATCAGAATTCATCAGAATTGATTGATTGGACATATGTCTAAATTTCAAAACTGATTTCCTGTGAAAATCCATTTTATCCCTACAATAACAATATGACAAAAGCTTGGCTAATGCTAGCCAATGGGGTTTCAAGTCAGATGATGGATTTAGATCTTTCCAGTTGTCATCAACACTAACCACTGTTAACAGCAGCATAAACCCATTCCAGCTAACGGTATTACTAGACAAGCTCTCTATTGGAATATGTTCTCAGTTAAATTGTTTTAACTAGATCTCCTCCTAGATATAAAATCAGCTGATAAACCACCAGCTTTTTTTTTCTCTTTAGAAGTATGAAAAAAGGAAATTAATATGCATTGGTTAAGAATACTCTTCAAAATAAAGTTACAGTCGGTTAATCTGTAAGGCACTAAATTAATTGCATGTTATGTAATATTAAATATTACTGAATGCTATATTTAGTTTGGTAAGGATTGTGAGCTGTTATGCAGTGGAACAGCCTGCTCCTTGAAGTCATGAGCACTCCAACACTCGAGGTTTTCAAGTAAAGCCTGGATAATCATTGGTGTGGCATAACAATGTTCCTACCCTGGGCACATGGCTGGGGTGGAAGACCTGAATGGTCTTTTCGATCCTGTAATTCTGTGTTTCTAAATCAGGGGTCCCCAACCTGTGGGGCATGGCTGTGGCTCATTCACAGACCACATGAACACAATCAACTCATGAGAGTTCCACTTGTGCAAGCCCCACTTGTGCAAGCAGTGGGTGTCAAGGCTCACAACCCACTCACATGATAAAATAAAATAAAGCTGCAGACACAGGCAACTGCCCTTGCACTAACCATCCTCTCTTTCCCTCACCCTCCCCCCCCGCCAACTCTGCTCTAAAGGTTTGTCTGCTTCAGTTTCAAGAAATAAAATTACTTGTGAGTTAAAAAAAAACCCCATGCATGCCTATGTATCCATTCTTGAACAGTTTCCTATTCCCTAGACCCGTTATGGTGAACCTAAGCCATTTCTTAGGGCACGTGAGGCATTGTCATATCAGCTTCAGTGCACATACACGCTCTATCCAGCTGATTTTGGCCATTTTTTGTCCTCTGGAGGCTTTAGAGTGAAAAACCACCCAATGCGCAAACTGTAAGTTCGGGAACTGTTGGACTGTTTTTCTCTCTCCGGAGGCTTCAGGAGTCTTCCCTGAAGCCTCCGTAGGGAGAAAAATGACCCTATGGGCAAGTCTGTTCCCAAACTTCTGGTTTGCATGTTGGGCTGTTTTTCTCCTTTCAGAGGCTTCTCTTCGGAGGAGGTGGGGGAGGCCATTTTCACCCTGCCCAGGCTCCTAGAAAGCCTCTGCAGCCTGGGGAGGGAGAAAAATGGGTCCATCATGCCATCACACACCAAAACAGGGGGAGGGGAAGGTTACAAGTGCATGCTTTCCTCCTGCACATACGCATGCGACCATCCCGCACATGTGCATGACCACCACCCCCCGCACTCCTCCCACTTTTGGCACTTGATGGCAAAAAGGTTAGCCATCACTGCCTGAGACAGAGTCAATGGACTCTGTCTAGGGCAGTGTAAATGACTTCCATTCCTTTATAGTTTGGCAAATAAAAATAGTAAATATAGGCCAAAGCTGTAAAGCATAAGTTTCCAATTAGTTCTTTTTTTTAAATAATCCCTTCATGTTTTTATTGATCCCTAAATCACTGATATTACCTACCCCTTCCCTTATTCCCTTCCTTTTAATGTCTTTTAATCCCAAAGCATTGATGAAGTTATCTAGTTGGGTAATGAAATGTCTCCAAGTAAACAACAAAGTCAGCCAGCGCCAAAGACTCCACAGTTCAACCCTGAGCTAAAAATGTTCTCTTTTGTTGGAATCTCTTCTCTTTGTACTAACTACAGTGATGTTATGACTACTCTAAGAACAATGTATAGGCATGCATATGCACTGTATGATTACAATTTTATAAACAAGATCACATATATGAGATGTTTTTATTATTAAAGGAAATTGTTCCTTAAACCATAGGGAGTATACATCCTATCCAGCTTTCTGTTTGTGATTTATGAAAGATACAAGCAATATGACTTTTAATTGAATAACAAGATTGTTAGTTGCTGCTTTAAATAATTGACTTACATTTATTACAACCTTATTTTATTATTTCACAAATCATTCTAGGCATACATAGTAAATCTATTTAAAAATATGATTGACAAACAATCTTGGGATGATGAAGGTACCGTGTCTGAGCAAATGCTTCGAAACACCTTACTTATGTTTGCATGTGTACGTAAATACAAACCATGTGTAGACAAGGCACAAGAGTATTTCATGAAATGGAAGGATTCAGATGGAACTCTGAAGTACGTATTTCACTTTTTAAGAACTGCTTAAACAATATCCTTCTGTCTTCAGGAAAAGATATCTATTCAGGGGTCTATAATCCTGCTTGGTGGGAGATTTACTTTGCAAAATGAATCACATAAATAGCAGTAATTTAATATATATTTTTCTCAGAGAATAATATGAGCACAATTTATTACAGATTGCCGAATAACATTAAGATGGCAGTATATGCTGTTGGAATACAAACAGATGAAAACTGGGATTTCCTTTTCAGCAAGTATCAGTTACCTGAATTCGATACTGAAAAGAATCAGATTGAAGTTGTATTGTGTCTGAGCCAAAACAAAGAAAAGCTTCAGTGGTAAGCATTCTTCAAATAGCATAACAACAACAACAACAACAACAACAACAATAGCAATAATTGGTTTAGTCTCTACTGGTGCAGTTTATAACAAAAAAATACAAGACAACATGAATTGTATAGAAAATAATCTTTATAAAAGTTTTTTTGGGGGTGGGGGAGAACTGGTCATACCTTTCCGTATTTACTTGGAGTGATTGTGTTTAGGAGTGTTGACAGCCCAGAAGCTGTTTAATAACATAGGTGATTTAAAATTCAAAGGAACTAGTTCATAAATTAACATTATAGCTCTCTCAATACCCATTTCTTACATTTTCATGATCACTTAATAGTTATGCAATAATTGTTTTTGGGGAACAACAATTATAATCAAATTATAATTGTTGAATTATACATTAATTGCTCATGTTGTTAACATTTGCTAGACAAAAATGCAGTGTTATATTACTATACTTTTGAGGCCAGTAGGCAACTCAAGCTTGGATGGAACAAGGAAGAATTGAGACATTTTTGAATACAAGTAGGAAACAACTGAACAAGAGCTTTTAATCTTCTGTTCCAGTCTATATTTTCTTCTTATTTATGTTTTGCACTATTTAACATTTATTTATATATTGTCAGTAGAATTTTATTTAATTAAAAAGTCATTCTACAGTTACAATTGGCTTTTTTTATAAATGTTTATTAAAAGGTTTTACAAAGATTTTAAAAACTACAGAAACATAGAACAGAAAAATAGTATAAAAGGGTAAAAAATGTGAATGAATAAAAAGCAAGAAAAAGATGTCTGAAATGACTAAAATCTTCTTTGCAGAGGTTATAAATATAGCATTTACCATCTTTACCCTCCCACATTGTATATCATAGTTCCTTTCTTCCTACAAACAAATATAAACCGTTCATTTTTATTCATTTTCAGCAAAAAGTCTAAACAGGGTTTCCAGTCTTTTAAAAAAGTAGTAGTTGTTCTCTCCTTAATCAAACAAGTCAATTTAGCCATTTCTGTAAATTCAGCCATTTTTACAATCCATCCATCCATTACTAATGTTTCTGAACAGGTAGTCCTCGATCTATGACAATTGAGCCCAAAATTTCTGTTGCTAAGTCAGCCAGTTGTTGAGTTTCGCCCCATCTTACAACCTTTCTTGTCACAGTTGTTAAGTTAATCACTGCAGTTGTTAAGTGAATCTGACTTCCCCATTGGCTTTGCTTGTCAGAAGGTCACAAAAGGTGATCACATGACTCCAGGACACTACAACCATCACAAATACAAACCAGTTGCCAAGCATCTGAATTTTGATCATGTAAACATGGGGATGTGGCAACACTTGTAAGTGTGAAAAATGGTCATAAGTTGTTTTAACTTCAAATGGTTGTAAATCAAGAAATTCCTATAATCTTCCATCCTTATGTATAATAGCCTCAAAGTTACTCTATATAAGTCCAATCATCCACAAGCCTTTTCTAACTGATAGTTCATAAAATGTAATAAGAAAGTTCCAGTTTTATCTGAGTATTAATTTTTAAAATTCTCTGCATCACCACATGTATTGTTTATGCATTTGCATCCAGTATGTTTTTGCTCTTTGACATCATGCATGAGAAAATGTCTCTTCATGTTTTTCACATTTCCAACAGTGATTAGAAGTATCTTTATACATTTTAAGACAAATTTTCTGGGGACTTGCAACAATGGTACATCATTTTTAAAACGTTTGCATTGAACTTTTAGGGACTTTCAGACCTTTTAACTTGCTTTTCCTCCTTTTTGAATCTCAACAAAAATTTATATATTTTATCTCATTTTATTCCTCATCTTTTTACAATCTATACTAAATATTTTAGTTGCACATATTAAAACTATTGAAAACTAAATCCCTCTGCAGTCAGTTATTTTACCTATGTTTCTGTACTAGCAAGTCTTTATATGTTAATCCACATTCACAATCAGCTTTTTCAAAACATCAACTTCCGTTATGTGCATATATTCTACTTTACATATATTAAGCTTCCAAATAAATGACTGTTTTTAACTGATACATTTGCACGTAGGCCACTTAGAAACATAGGATAAATCAAATATTGTTTTGTGAAACAATATTCCCAAGACAGGACTAGACAAGAGAATTAGAACATCATTACTTGGGGGGGGGGGGTACTAGTTATTGAGAGAATCAATGAGAGAACAAATTAAAAAGCTGCATTATTTGTTGTATTCCTTGCTTCAATGAGGGATATAATTTTCTTACCAAATTTCTGCACATATTTCATGTATCCATGCTTAATTGAAAAACTTGACTAATCGGGGTTTTTTTTAGGCTAATGGATCAAGCATTGCAAGGTGACATAATAAAGACTCAGGAACTGCCTTCTATAGTTTTGAGTGTTGGAAGGAATCCTTATGGATACCAATTAGCTTGGAAGTTTTTAAAACAAAACTGGCAGAAACTTGTAAAAAAGTATGTATGACCTTCAAGTTCTTGCACTTTAATTTGTTTTGAGGAAGCCTACAAAACTGTTTACTCTGTTGATGTTTGGTTTTGGTTTTGTTTGTTTTTCTTGTAGATTTGACCTTGGCTCACACTCACTTGCACACATGATTACTGGCATAACAAATCAGTATTCCACAAAGGAACAGCTTGCTGAGGTAAATATATCTTTGACAGTATATATAAGTAACTGTGACACGATATTTTTTTTATCTTAAATCGATGCAAACCATTTTTATATAGAGAGAATCAAATTGTTAAGAATATATGATGTTTAGTTTTGTGTTTGGGTGTATTAAGATACGTTTGTGCTTTCAAACTAGTTTTGACTTATAGCAATTGTATAGACAAGTTCATGCATTCTTTTGCAACAGGGATTTGCCATTGTCTTCTCCTAGAGCTGAAAGAGTAACTGGCTCAAGGTCACCCAGCTGGCTGCCATGTTTAAGAACTTTAATTTCTGCTTCACTGCTTTTAATCACTACACTAAACTGGTTCTAATAAACACACACACACACACACACACACACACACACACACACGAGATTCATGCTAGCTTACAACAAAATACATCATCATCATAACATCAGCAGTTCAAAATCACTTCAAGAAATAAAGCACAATGCTATTCAATTAATTAATTCATTAACAAAATCCAGTTTCAAACTTCCAAAGGCCCTCTGGAAGAGTAGAGTTTCGTTACCTTCTAGGAGTTCCTAACTAAGTATATGGGAATTAATGGAAAAACAGCATTTTCTAGTATCCCAAGTCACCTCCCATCATAAAAATTGGGACCAAAAGCCCCAATTTCTCGGGGTGGAAAAGGCAGCCTTAAAGTTCACCAGCTGCTAAGCCATGTGGGGCTTTATAGGTCAAACTAGAACCTTTAATTGTACCTAGAAACAAATTAGTAACCAGGAGGATGGCAGAATTAGGGGAGGGATGAAAAAGGGATCAGCCTTTTTGTTGTTAGTTGTGAAGTCATGTCCAGCCCATCGTAACCCCATGGACAAAGTTCCTCCAGGCCTTCCTGTTCTCTACCACCCTTTGGAGTCCATTTAAGCTCACGCCTACTGCTTCGGTGACTCCATCCAGCCACCTTATTCTCTGTCGTCCCCTTCTTTTGCCCTCAGTCTTTCTTCAGTCCAACCCCCCCCAACCCGGCTGACCTTGACCCTTATCTAACTCTAAGTAGGCATTGACAGTGTGCATAGGCTTTTAACAATAAGTTAAATTGAACCTTCACATGTGGACCTGGTTTTTGTGCCTGACACTAGGCCTTGCAAAATTTGTCTAACATGACATCTGGCACTACAAACTTTTAAAACTCAATGAAAAATATCCGGATTGTGTTCCAAATGGCTGCTGATTTGAATAAGAAAAGAAGCATCCTTGAAATGAGCACACAAGCACATTCTCAATGTGAACATGGTCCTTGCAATTTGAGAGTTATTGCATGAATGTAGATGGAGAAGGCCTGTTTTCAGCAACGTGTTCCATCCCCTCATTGACATTTTAAATCCGTGTTGTGCTTAGTTATTGCAGAAATAGTTTATAGTTTGACAGCATGAAGTATGCAAGTCTAGTTTTGAAATGGTATATTGTCAACACCTACGGTAATACACCCAATTTATTACATTTTGTTTGTATGTGTTCTTACATTTTTCATTTGGAAATGAATGGGGCTTGAGAATGAGTACTTCTGAGATAGCTGCAGCCTCTGTCTGAAAGGAGGGGGAAAATGCAACTATTCATGTCCATCCAGAGAATGGAAGCATATGGCAATGATCCATCTCTCTTAAGAGAATGTCTCATTACTAACCTGGCTTCTCCTCCTCTTGTCAACTGGAATATATTTTTTTATTTGTAACTTCTTTCTGGTTGAAGGCATAGTGGGAAAGGAGAGATAAGCATGAACAAATAGTTTTGAATGCCATCCCATGGCATACTGTATTCAGTATTGTCTATTTTGGAAAACTAGCTTTCTGCTGCTACTTTGGTAGGAATCCTGCAAGAATCAGTTGTGTTTCTCTGTATTTCCTCAATAGGTAAAAAATTATTTCAGCTCAATGGACAAAAGCACTTCAGAGCTCCGTGCTGTTCAACAAGCAATAGAAACAATTGAAGAAAATATCCAGTGGATGGATAAGAACCTTGAAAAAATCAAGACATGGTTACAGATTAATAGCAAAGTGTGAAATTGTATGTTAATTATTGATTCAGAATTGACCAGAAGTAAGTTCTCAAAGCTATACATACTGTCTAGAAACTGATAGAAATCTCTGCAACAGGATTGTTCCTTAATATATTTAAAAACATTCCACTTGGGATAAATTGGGGTTTGTGGAAAACAAATTGAAGGCAAGAAAACAGTACCGTTTTTACCACTATAATTGCAATATCCTATATAAGAATTTTTATAACAATCGCTTTAATAGCTTCAAATAGGCTTGTAGTGGTAGTCCTCGACTCACAACCACAGTTCAGCCCAAAATTTATATTGCTAAGTGAGACAGTTGTTAAATGAACATTGCCCTGTTTTATGACTGTTCCTGCCACAGTTGTTAAATGAATCATTGCAGTTTAGTAACATGATTGTTAAATTAATCTGGCTTTCCCATTGATTTTGCTTGTCAGAAGGTCACAAAAGGTGATTACATAACCCCGGGATACTGCAACTGTCATAAATCTAAATCAGTTGCCAAGCATCCAAATTTTAATCATGTGACCATGGGGATGCCACAATGGTCATAAGTGTGAAAAATAGTCCTAAGTCACTTTTTCAGTTGCATTGTAACTTCGATCACTAAATGAATGGTTGTAAGTTGAGGACTACCTGTAATGGCCATTGTTTTAAAGTAACCATTACTTTAAAATAATAGTACAGACCCCAGAGGCTAGAATTAAATAATATTTATCAGTAACTGAATGTTAAAATGAGCTTAGAATTATTTTGCTACTCAGAGCAACTATAAACCATAAAAATTAAGGTATAAGTGTATAAGTGAAGGGTAATTGTTTTTCTCTTGTCTGTTCTAGCACAATTTAAAGGAGATTGAGTTGTTATAGACCCTCTTCCATCACCCAGCAACAGCTGGTCCCACCATGCTTACACCACACTAGGCTAGCCACTTACCCACTTGCCAACCTGCTTGAGGGCTGCCTGGCACAGCTGGCTTTCTGTCAGCTTCTCCATTGACTTTGCTTCTTGGAAGTCAGCAGAAAGTTGTGAGATAGTCCTCAATGATACCAATGGGACTGTCGTCACTAAGCAATGGGGTCATGAAACATCATCCTTTGCGACCATATTGCATAGTGATGGAAATTCTACTCACAATTATTATTGTTAAGCGAGAATTATCTGGATGAAGATGCTTGTGTAATTTTTTCTTTGATGGCAACTGGCAAAAAATGATCTTTCAATAAGCTTAATTATTCACTTAATTAGGTGTATTGGTGCATACTGTTACACTTCATTTTAATACAAAGGTATAAAAGTAATATAAAAGGAGGCATCTGTATCTCAAAAATGTCATTCCTTCATTAATGTTCTTGTTTCATGCTCATTAATTTGTTTACTTATCCACAAGTCATACATTTATGTTGTGGTGAAAGACTTATTAAACATTTTGATGGATTTCACAACAACGCTGTTGCATTAAACTACAGTATTCCTGATTTCTGAGAGTAAAGTTGAGAAGGGTATTTTTGGCTTGGAATGTATCATTTCCAAAGACCTCTGCATTGTTAAAATATGTTGAAATATTAGTGTTCTTGGTGAAACAAAATGGCAGAATATTATTCTTCAAAATAAGTTGCGCTGTTTTAAATTTGATCATTTATAGTTGAGTAGCATCGAATTTCAATAATTAAGACATAATTTCCAGTGGCAAAGTATGTGAAAAGTCCACAATCCACAGCAGTACATAAAAGTAAGGTTGGATTGGTCTGTGAAATGTGTATGCCAAAGGATTAGGTAATAGGAATTGATAAAGATATAACAAAGCATATTTAAAGTATTTTCAATAGAATTCAGGTTGCAACAGAATACAAAATAACAAATATAAAGTAATACATAAAATGTATATTAGTGTACCACATTAAAATGACAAGTACAGTTCAGTATTGACATTACATGTAATTAAGGACAGTCTCATTGTCTTCAGTATGAAAGATGTAATCCACAAGGAAATCTTTTATTGAATTGAATCCATTTGAAAAAAGTAAACATTGTGATAGAAAACGCCATGCTCTTTCTTTTAATCCCCATGCAGGTGAAAAGGAATCACACAGTTAAGATTCCTGGAGCAACTAAGGTTGGTTTAGTTTATAGAGTCAGCTGCCTAAGAACAGGTGTGATAATTTTAACATGGATTTCAAAGCACATCTGAATCTGGAACTATATCCATCTCTCACATACCCTGCATGGAATACTTAAGAAAGGAAAGCACTTAAATTTGATTAAGAATTATTATGAAATCAGCTGTGCTGATTTATACTCTAGGACAGTGTTTCTTGAACTTGACAACTTTAAGATGTGTGGACTTTAAATCCCAGAATACCTGGCTGGGAAATTAAAGGAATTGAAAAGCACACATCTCAAAAGTTGCTTAGTTTGAAAAACACTGCACTAAGTAAGATAAGGATTCTTTGCATGTTCTCAGTTCTACGGATGGTTATTATGCCATCCTATATATTCGGCTCTTGTGTTACATATTGCTCAGAGTAAAGCAGATAGTATAGAACAGTTTTGGGGAGAGGGTTGGTGGGAAAAGTACTAGTTACTTTTCTCTATATCTTTCCCAGGAAACCAATGACAGATGTAGCACAAATGCTTTGTATACGATGCAGGTTTTAGAGAATGGCACTGTTCGTTATTTGATAAGAAGCCAAGGCTGCAACGTAGAAGCTTCTACTCTGCTCCAATTTTGAAAACTTTGCAACTATTTACTCATTTCCCCCTAACAATTCTCCAGCAAAAATACTCATAGGCAATTGGCCTAAGAAGGCAACCAAATTTAAAGCATTCCTTTTATAACAAACTAGCAAAATTCACTGAGATTTACAGGCACTGTGGGTAGATTATGTGCAAAATTTTGCATATTTCACTCCTATTAAATCCATAAGAAATATCTTTCTTACAAATATAAAGCATTCTTTTCTTCTCAAAACTTAAGAAAATGACAATAATACAGACAATAAAGTAAGTGTCTAGAAAATGTGAGTTCATCCTTGAAAATAGCAAAATAAATGCTTTGCATGCCAACGTAGCCCAATATCATAAAATGTCCAAGATGCTATCTTTTTGCAAAACTGCTTTTGTTCAAATACAGCTATCCATCAAAATAAAGAATTTTCACACTGGTGATAAACATTCTGAAAAGATAAAAATATGTTCTGTTCTTAAAAGGAAGTGTGTCATAACGTTCAACAGCTGAGGCAGGAATTTTAAAACAAAAAACTAAAATATTTAGATTAGCAGGATAAACAGGGTTGATTTAAACTTAAACTAACCAATAATATAGAATTTATAGAGCTGTTCATCTCAACTTTGTGACTCGATACAAAAACAAAAGCCAGGATATAAGAACATAACATTGCACCTAAGATGTTTCATATAAATAGAATCCTCTTACTGAACATAATTTCCTTGTTTAATCAAATTTGCTTTGTTCCTAAAACTAGTGTTTCATTAAAAAGGCTAGCAGACTTTTTAAAAACAAATATCAAAGGGTTGTTGTTGTTGTTTTTATCAGGCAGCCAGATGGGGCATAAACAAAGGCTGGATGGTGGCAGTGGGCACACTCATTCTCTCATTCTTTCCAAGCGGCTGGGAAAGAGTTCTTACTGTAGTTCTGAACTTATCTTTTGCAGTATGCTTCAAAATTAACCAGAGGTCTGTAGAAAAAATTAGCTCAGGGACATCCAACAACAGTCACAGGGAGAAAATGTTTTTTTTTAATGATTTATTCCAACTTCAAGGATTATGGCAATGATCTATTTTCACCAGAGAGAGCAAACTTATTTCTTTTGTGAATGATCTGATTTTGCTTGTTATTTGTAAGAAACAAGGCAAAAATGCGCCTCTGTATTTTGGTGCTGATATTTTCAGGAGAGGCCTCCAGGGACTGCAAAAGGGGACTGATGCTTCGTGTAGATTATCCATCTGTTACTTCAAGTGTACAACAATGCATCCCTAATGGGAAAGATGTAAGAGGACATCTTACAAAGAAGGCTCCATGTCGGGAATGATTTTTTAGGACATCAGAATGTGTACTATGAGTCTAACTAATCTCTGAATTAGTGAAAAATCTGTCCTGATGTCAGGGTTTATTACTACAGATTTTCTAAATGCCAATTCATTCTGAGTCACATGCATATTATATATTCATGATAGAAAATTTAGGATTTAGGACTACTCACCTGATGACATTTAACTTTTTTTTTGTTTTTCAGATTTTGCAGTGGAAGATTGCTCCTTTGCCTTAAAAGAGAAGAAAAAAGAATCATGACATTAGTTATTGTAGTAAACACTGAATTCACATAGTCTGTTATGAATTATGTCTTGGGGGCTGGTTTTGGCTTAGTGTGTTCTGTGAAGTGAAGTTCTTTAATAGGACAAGGTTAATCAAGTCATAGTAAAGTATGATGTGTTAGCCAGGTCATTTAAAAATAAGACTTAGGGTGGTGAGTTTGAAATAACAGAAAATGATCCAAAACCAGAGAGTGGGGTAAAAAGCTTTTCACACCCTAAAACCATCTCTCTTAAAGTTAATTGGTACTTTCATATGTATCTAAAGATTCAACATTTGATCAGAGCAATGACACCCAATGGTAAATGTATTTTTTATCACATAGGTTATCCTTGACTTAATCACCATTGGGATGAAGTTTCTATTGCTAAATGATACAGTCATTATTTAGCGATTAGCCATTGTTAGCTAAGGCAACACTCCAATCTAAGCCACTCCAGATTTGATACCTCCCAGCCACAATACAAGCATCTAAAAAGCAAAAGGTTAACATTTACATGTTTAAGAAACTTTAGAAGCTACTATTAAATATGCCTCTGAATTTAGGCAAATAATGTACGCAGGTTCCATAAAATCTCCATAAATAGCTTCTGCATGAAATTTATAAATAATGTTCTCATAAGTACATTTCAGGCCAGGGTATAGTTTCAATTCATTATAGTCACTCTTCTTTGTATCCCCAGAGTTTCACATTGCTCAACCTGAGTACAACAACAGGTTCATGATTTCTATTCTAGTAATAGGTGATAGTAATGAAATGAGATTTAAAAAATCAGGCTTCCTGACTAACAATAGAGGATAACAGAATAAGCTTAAAAATTGCACATAAGATGCTACAGAAATTGTCCAGCTCAAACAAGAGGTAAAAGTGGAACAAATCACACTAGGTAGAATTGTTATGCTAAACAATCTTACCTTCTTGGGTGTTTTGGATTTCTTTTCCTCCTTCCTAGGTTTAGATGAGGCAGCACCTTTTGATTTCTCCTCCTATGCCCAACAGAAAAAATTGTTTGTTCATTTTTCCAAGAAATAACATCTTTTCAAAGTGTAGTTGCATGAGACCACAATTGGGACCAGAAATGGTCCTGAAGGAAAACATATTTGTTATGTGAATCCAACTCCCCCCAATTAACATTTCTTGTTAGAAGCCAGTTGGGAAGATCACTAATCATGATTAGGTAACCATAGGATGCTGATATTGGTGGTAAATGTAATCTGGTTTGGCAAGTACCTGAATTTTAATCACATGACTATGGTGGTACAGTAATACAGTGGTCCTAACTTTGAAGACAGGTCAACTATCACTTTTTCCTATTTCAATCATTAAATGGGTGATCGTTAATTCAAGCATTACCTATACAGAAAAATTGAAATTCATATGATGGACATATAACCCAAGGGTTCAGAATAACTGAAAGGAGAAGCTAAAACTAGTTGTTAAAGGTAGAACACCATATAGTTCCATAATATAAGTTTAAGAGGTGTTATGGTTTTATATAATGCAGCTGCTGAGACTTTAGTTAAGGGAACACTTGACTGTGGGGAATTAGATCTCCTGTCACGCATCCCCTTTTCTGGTTCTGCTTTCTCTCTCCTGTGGAAGATGTAGGTTTTCTAAAGCTTAATGTTTAAACATACAGGTTCATGCATATTTTTTATTTATGGTGTAAGAATAAAGTCTTGCATTTTATTGAGGGCATACAAAGATGCATGTGAGAAAACTGTGCCCTATTTCAATTGTCCTAGAGAGGGAAATGAACAAAAACAAGTCTATACTTAGCACAATTTTATTGTGAGAAAAGCTTTATTAGCTTTTATTTATTAGAGACATTCAAAACAACTTTTATTTTTGACGAGTGAAGACTTTCTTTGGATAATTTAGGCAGCATTTGCACCAGAGACATGAGAACAAATAAAACTCAGATTTACAACTAAGAAATAAAAGCAAGAACAGGCATTTAATACTTGTTCCCTCATTCCATTTGACTCTTAAGAAATCTGAATTAGCATTTTAAACAACCAATTCTTTGCTCCATTATTTGAGTTAATTTATGCATGTTCCTGCAAAGACTAGAAATAAAATGTCACCTTTAAACAGCATTTGTTTAACAGGTCTATTCTTAGATTTAGAAGCCAATGTGGGATTAACCTCAGATATATTCTCATATTTGGTAGAATTTTTAATTACCTAAAAATCAGGTTACCTAAAGATTAAACCAAATCTACCAAAGGAAGGAGTTTTGGTAAAGCTATATGCAAATAATTGTGAGTAGATAAACCATGAATTCTGTCTTTTAAATAATATTTAAATGAATCCAGTCCTCAAATTTTCATGGAAATAGGAGAGGAAATAAAATTATGCAAGTAAAATTAAAAACATTTAAAAAATGCATATTCTAAAACAGGCAGATGGCGCTCTAGCATAGTATAAATGGGGATGTTTTACTTATTTAGAGGAGTGGCATTAAACTGAGAAAACATTATTTATAAACTTTCTATTAAACATTGTTCACTGGATAACCACAAGAGAGACAGAAAATATGAATAAGTTTTTTTAAATTCATTTTACACAGTATCCATGATAAAAAGCCAGAGCTAACCATATTCCTTTTAATCAACCGAATGACACAGAAAAGAATAAGCTTTCAAGTTTCAAAAACTCTTACGGTTGTTTTACTAGATGATTAAGAACAGACAGTTTTCAAAAAAATTTCAATGTATTTTTCTCCTTTTTCCTGGTCTATTTCTTTATTGAAGAATTCTTGGACAACAAACTTGGGCATAATTAAGGTCTAATAAAGATTGTTGAACCGAAGATGTTGAATTTCTTCTCACACATATGGATTTCCATGCACAATAGGAAAATATGGTGTAGTGATGAAGGTGCAAGCAATATGGTGTAGTGATGAAGGTGCAAGCCTAGAAATCAGGAGATAAGAGTTCTAGGCCTTCCTTAGGGATGAAAGCTGGTTGGATAATTTTGGGGCAGTCCCTGTTTTCAGCCCAACCAAACTCAAGGAGGTGTTGGAAAGAAAACAAGAGGCAGAAGGACTATGTTTGCTTGCCACCTTAAAGGCAAGGTAAAAATAGTAGGTAGTACTACTTTGATTTCGGCCATCTTGTACTTTTCAAGTGGGATTCTTTCTTAAATACAATTTACATTCAACAAGTAGAATGCAAATTTTGTGTAATATATATATACATTACATATACGTGTATGTATATGTATACATACATACATACATACATAC